ACCCCCCCCCCCCCCATGTGATAGCAATGAGGTAAAAAACATTTTTTTTTTAAATTAAAAAACAATTCCTCCCCATAAAATATAAAGTCCCCCAACCCTGCAAACGCACGCATACTAACGGAAACACAAGTTGGGTGCACCTACATGGTAAACCATCACGTTTTATTTTAGATTAAGGATGCTATTTCTCCCCCTCCCGATTAAATCAAAAAACATAAAAATCGGCCAACTAATTGATTATGAAAATAACCATTAGCTGCAGCCCTAGAGCTTCCATATACTTAAAAAAATATGTGAAAGGTAATCTTTTAACAGGCCATTTACCCATAAAGCGAGTCTCATTGCTAGAAATTGAATAAATGAGCTCCAACTACAAATCATACCTGTCTGTGGGTCAATAGAGACTAGAGAAAAGAACATTAGGTATTAAAAAAAACACAACACAGTGCTATCCTATAAAAATGCTAAAAACACAATTTTGACAGGATCCCAACCCTAGAAATGTTTTTATAGGAAGAATTCCTTTTATGACCTAGACTTCTGGTCGTGTTCCTGCAACTACAAACTATTTGCTCCCAATTATCCTGGTGGAATACTGCCCGTGCCAAGATGTGACAGACGTTGTAATCAGACATTTGAAATATACAGAAATAAAAAAACACCAGCTAGATCACATTTTTTTATTGCTCAGGGCAAAGAACATAACTCTTAGTCCCAACTGGGAGCAAACGTGGAAAATAGAAAACTCTCAAATATCCATCAAGTGCCACCTTGGAGTGGCATATAAAGGTCAATGCCCGAAGTTAGGGTGACCTTCCACATGCTGACATGGCTTCATTTACTGCAATGTGTCCTGTTAACAAAGTAATCACAAGAACTTGGGTAACAGTCACAAGAACTTGGGTAACAGTTAAACTTATTAAATTCCCGTTTAGAACTCCAACTACAAAAAGGAAACTGGAAGCCACTGTAGTGATCCATTCCTCCTCCCGTGGATCTGTAAGAAAACTGTGGAAGAGGGTGGCAAATAGAGTTAGATGAAGCTTGTATTGCCTGGATGCCAGACACTGCTTTTGGTTCTATAGATGTCAGATCACCCCTGCTGGTCTGCCCAAGAATGCCTTTTGTCAACTTCCCACTCCATTGGTCACAGCCAGGCTCACACTGTCCAAGCCAGTATTTGAACGATGACCATTCCTTCTGTATAGATGATCCAACTTGAGCAGTGTCTCTTTCTTCACTTAACGTCCAGCGCAGGTGAATACATTGTGGCTCCAAGGACTGGTTCAACGTGTAAACTGTTCTAATACAAACAGAGCGGTGGACAGGAGGGACAACTGCCTAAACCTTTTTTTCCTCTATCTGTTAACAAAGTGGTCTTCTACTCAGGCCACATCTCTTTAACGTATTCCATGATGCCTTGCCCGGCACCTCATATATATTCTTCTCTGTATACAGTATATTTATATATTAAAAAGGAGACAGGAAAAGGGAGCTCACATTTTTTTTTTTCATCCCCCTTCCAATTTCGCAACTTTGGAGAAAACAAAAACCAGAACCTTTTATTTATAAAATAAAAAAAAAAAAAAGGAAAAAAAGTTTGAAAAACTCATAGGAAAGGAGGCACTCATCACTGCCTCTTCTCCAACTCCAGTGCACTTCCTAACCAGTCTTATCTTTGTGCATCCATGGCCGTCATGGCTTTCTGTGGGCCCCCTGAAGGCTGGGAGGTAGGGGGCCATGTAGGCTGTGCATGATGGTGGTGGAGATGTATGGTGGGAGAGGCTGGGGGAGGCCAAACAGGTTGTTGATTTGGTGGAGAGGAAGCCCAGTATGGGCTGAAGTTGCCTGGAGGAGAGCAGGCATTTGAGGTGGCTGGACTACTGCTATTTTGCAAGCTCTCAGAGGTACGCAGCTTTGAAAACATGGCTAGAGCATCAGGGAAGTTGGGCGGAGTGGCTGGTGTGTTACTTGGTGTGCACATCTGCAAAGACAAACCAGACATCATTAATAAAATGATTACGCATGCCTGGAATTAGCATAAACAAACACATTTAAGTCTCAAGAAACAGGTAAGTTCTAGTTTCATTCATCGCCCATACATTGCAAAGGTAGAATATACATGCAGGCATCAGATCTAGAGAAAAATGCCACAGTGCACCATACATTTGTTGACTCCAGAATGGTAAGGGGAGTGGCAAAGAGGAAGACCATAGTGCCTGCTTTTCATGGGGGAAGAATTACAACAACTGGGACACGATTTAAACATTACATTAAAATGTATCTAAACCCATGAACAGAAGCGTTATACATGGCAGCTTAGCAGTCTTTAAAATGGGTTGGCTGCATTCATTTTATTTTTCAGACTTCCCCCAACAGTGATCCTGCCTGTCATACACTTTCTACATTCACAGTTCTGCATCTATGGATGGGCAGCATTGTCCTTCTGGGACAGGACTACTACACAATCTAAAGTGCGATTGGTAGGCATACGCATGGTCATATAGGGGCATCGAAATGGTGTTCATCTGTCGAACATCAGACTAGTGTGACCTGGAGCTTGCACAGAGTTTCTTATCCTCCCTCCTGCAGACAAATGAGTGACAGTGGAGAGAAAGGAACCAAAGTGTGCGCAACTAGTGATGGCATTTAAGTATTATCTGCCAACATCCTGTGTGTATTTTGCAAATGTATGCTTTCTGCAGTAGAGAAGACTACTGCTGTTAAACGAAAAAGATCTTTAAAATTAATTAAACAAATACATACATAATAGACCTACATCTGATGTATCTGGGTTATTGAAGTTCTACCAGCTAGCAGGAAGGCTGTAAGAGGCTTTAGTAGTCAAAAGCCCAGCATGCAAAGAGTCACGGATCTCTCATTTAGGTTTGTTTTGTAAAATGAAAAAAAAAAAGTTAAAACATTTTTTTTTTTTAAACAGCCTGAACCCCAAACAGCACTGAACTACCCACATATGTATTACAATTACTACCAGAATGCGTTTAAGGAGTAAAATGAGCAACTGTGAACTAGGCTGCAGTGTGTGTGTGTGTGTGTGTGTACAGGGCATGTGGGAAAGACCAGAGTTGGCTCTACACTTGTTGACTGCTCTATAGAGAAAGGATCTAGGCCAGTGGTGGTAAACGTGTTAATTATATAGAGGGGCTCACATGCAGCCCCTCAACAATGACCATACAATAGCAATGTGTTTGCCTTTAGCTCTCCTCTCTCCAGAAGTGGT